GCACGATTTGGACGAGGATCAACCGCCCTTGACTCCCATCTATCTCCTGACGGCGATCCATTCGTTGTTGATTTCAGCTAAAATCAAATCTTATGTTAGAAGTTTTCCTCCGATCAATAAAATCGCTTAGTCCGGAGCTTTGAATTGGAGTCTTTGAAATTGGTAATATGAAGCTACATAGTAAGTAGCCACTCACTCTTAACAACGGCATTCACTAATTTTCATGAGATACTATTCATTACAATGCAATTTTTTTTTGAATAAAATGCCCTACAATATTAGACTGCCCTACTAAAAACTGTTCAGTCGCCAGGGTACTTCGACGAGATCAAGGCCTTATTTTGCAAAAGACACGGATCGGAGAGCCGAAAATCCCGCCTTGGTTTATCGTCGAGTCTTTCGAATCGTGACGTCGTGCACCACTTGCTGACTCTAGCACTGTGCTATTTACATATTTACTCTGTACTGCCTAACACCGTTGTCATATGCACCTACTGACCGCCAAATTTTCGCGAATATCCACAACAAATTCATTGCTAATCAGGTTACTAATATTCGACATCTAACAGTTGAGGTTGTGGTGATACTAACAAGAATACCAGAATCTAAAGATGAAGAGAAAAAACGAAAGGAACAACAAAAGGTTAAGAAATGAAAACCAACGTCGGTAGACACGATACCACTAGTTTCTTCATCCTCAAAATCGCTCCTCTGTTCATTCTCTTTCAGAAATTTTGACGAGTTTTTGCACCATCTGAAAAGTGTGAATGAGACAAACTCGTTTTGTGCGAATGATTGGCACGTTATGATGATCGAAAAAGTACGAAAAAAGAACAAACTTCTCGACGTTTTTATAGACCATGCTGCTAAATCCACTTGAAGATTCGGATGACAGCGTCAAATTCTTTGTCCTTGAACTTCGCCTTTTACTTGGCGTTTTCTCTGACAGCATCTTTTGTAGATCTTCGGAATCGCTGCGCGACAATGACCTAAATCAATAAATTAATTCACAAGCAGACGGGCTCTTAGGATTATGATAGGGTGAGCCTTCTGTTTGCTCCTGGCTTCCAAAAAACAGCTTTTTGGAAAAGTTTTTTGATCGAGTCCTACCATGATTGAGTCTTACATCCTTGTCTTGCAACTCCTCAAGCGACCTTCTTTCCTCTTACAAACTTAATTTCCTGAGAAATTTTAGAGGGACGGGCGGGGGAAGGAAGGAGGGGCAGAGGGGGAGGGAAGGGAGTTGACGCTTTCGACTTACTATATTTGGCTTTTTGACTTTTTATTAACTATATTTGACTAATATTGGCTTTTTATTATGCGTTTTTGCATATATGTAAATTGCAAAAACGCATATTGGGAAGAGGCTGTCTGTGTGTGTGTGTGTGTGTGTGTGTGTCTGTGTGTTCGCACTTTATGTCACCCACTTTCAACTCGAGACCCAGAAAACTGTGTATTCGCACTTTTTGTCACCCACTTTCAACTCGAGACCCAGAAAAGCTACAAAGCTGAAACTTTGGGGATATGTGCCTCTGTGTGCCCGCACTTTTTGTCACCCACTTTCAACTCGAGACCTAGAAAATCTAGAAAGCTGAAACTTTGGGGATATGTGCCTATACCATGCGCGACCCTCCCGTTTTAATTTCATC